CTGCCACCCTGCCCTGGCAGCACTGGGCGCCTTCGGTCGGGGTACGCGGCACCTCCTGCCTGTTTGGAGAACGCTTACCTCGCCTTTAAGGGACAGAAAGGCAGCAAGCACTCAGGCACCGGTTACACGAAGGGCTCAGTGCACTTTGCAGCAACACACAGTCACGGAGACACCGCATCTTGCTAAAGTATTTGCTTAAGATTTCTCTTCTGGTGGAATCGCCCCTTTACAAAGCGGGAGGCGAAGCAATGGTAAGCCGATTGCCCGCTCCCCCCCCAAAGAGCAGCCCCACACATTTGCAGACAAGTATGCACAGGCCCCCTGGATATTCTCAGCCCCCAAAGATTCCAGCCTGACTTGCCTGGCTTGCTCTGGACCACTTGGCATGTGATAGCAGCCGCGCACATTTGGCAGAGACATTTTTAGAAACTTCCAAGCTATGAATTCACCCTTCCATTTTGGTAAAGCCAGTTATGTGGAAAGCATTTCAAAAGCAGAACTTCAAATACAGACTCAATTTCCCCTCAATTCTTAGAGGGGGAAAAAAATAATATTACACTTTTCATTTATTTTCCCACAGAGAGTTATCCTGTAATATTTCTGTATTTGCTGACACTATAACCAATAATGAAATAATTATAAGTCAAATCAAATCAGTCTTTTCAGCACAGTTACGCCGTATGTTAAAACTATTTCCAACTCTTTCCATCAGGTCCATGTTTTATGGCAATCACTAACAAGTGAGCCTCAGGTCCATGTTTTATTGCAATCACTAAAAAGTGACTTTCCTTGAAAAAATACATCTAATTAAATGCTTCAGAAGCGACCTTCACGCTGCACGCCTCGGGGATGCGCTGGGGAGATGCCCACGAGCCCAGCTACGGCACCACGGATACCTGGCAGGCGCCTGCTCCTGCCCACGGGCTTCCCATCACGGCCACGTAGGAACGGAGACCGGGATCACGCCTGCACCCACAGCTCGCTCACCACGTGCTGGCAACACAGCTAAATATCCAGCAGCGCTGTCTGGCCCCTGACACACCGAGGGTCAGCTTCCAGGCCTTCTCCCCTTTTCCCCAGGCGCTCAGAAAAAGCAAACCCATCTCAGCAGGCTGGGCTCCCCAGGCAGGACCTGACACGGACTCCCACAAACCAGCAAGCTCGCGGCCTCTCACTCCGCCGAGGCACCCGAACCGCCCCATCCTCAGCCCTAAGTGGCTCCAGCTGCACAGCACAACACCCCCAGTCCCCGAAAGGGCTTCGGCCCCCTTTGCCGGGAGGAGGCAGGTAGCTACCCACCGCTCAGCTGGGGAGTGGGAGCTCATTAACCCGCAGCTGCTTGATTGCTACCAGCTGCCTGCCTCGGCCCCTCAACTCCAGGGCAAGGGGATTTCAGGCCCTTTTTAAGCTCACAGTAGTTCCTTGCTCCTTGTTTTAAAGGAGTATTATTCTTTGAAGGAAAAAGATTTTCACTGCAACTGTTCTGCGACAGTGCATCCCACTCTCAGCTTGCAGGGCCGCATCCGATACCTGCTGCCTGCGGGGAGGAACGGTCCAGGCAGCAACAGCAGGGCTCCTGTTTGCTTTCCCTTGCGTAGAAACTCTGCGGCACAGCCCTGAACACTTCTCCAGAGCCCTCTTTCTTCCTCTAAAGCTTCCCGAACACCTTCTGCTCCGCAGTCCCAAAGCTTCTGGCCTCAGGAGGGCTCCAACCCTTGGCCCCCACATCACGCCCGAGCCCAGGGGAGCAGAGGCCGCCCTCTCCTCGCTGTCCGCAATGGGTCTGCTGCACTTGTCAGGGCACGCTTGAAGGGTGAAGCACCAAAGAAAACACTACTCCCTTTCAAATAAATTGGTGTGATGCCAGTTTTTACCCTTCACAACACAACCTCGGGCACGCAGCAAAAGCGAGACCTGAGACGCCGCCCTGTGCGATTCAAACCCCACCTTCCCATTCAGAGGTGGCCACGGAGGCCGGTGGGCTGCCCAAAAGGCAGAAGGTGCAAATATAAATCCCCCTGTAGACGCAGAAGAACCGCACGGGCCCAACTTTCCACACTCCCTGGATAAACATCACAAATATCAGAAACAAAAAGCCAGGCACAACCACCCCCTCTTCCCGCAGCACCGCTCCCGCACGCTGATTCAAAACATCAGATTTAGAGCCTTACCTTCAGGCCAGGAGCAAGGTCCGCAGGCAAGGAGCAAGCCGGAGGCCATGCTGCAGGCTGGAGGGAGGAGGTTTGAGCATGCCCACCCAGCCGTCCCCAGCTGCCGGCCGTGTGGGCTGATTGCCCGTACCCTGGGCACCTACCACCAGCCACGGCTCGGCTCCAGCACCCGGCCGCCAAGCCTGGGTGGCTGCTGAGGCACACGTTAGCGATGGCGCTTCACCAAATCACCCTTCTTACCCCAAAGGGGAAATATCATTTATCTGGCTGGCTCCCCTGATTATTTCCCTTCAGGTCTGTGGCCCGTCAGGAGCCTGGGTGCCCTCTGGCTGCCCAAGGAACGGTTCAGCTCCCAAGTGCTGCAGGTGGACCCGTTGTGTCCCGGGGCGGATTTCTGCTCTTCCCCTCTCCCCAGAGGTCCAGTTGTCCTTGATCCTTGTTGACTGATTTCCCTTGTCTCTAAGGACTGTAAATGCACAGCCAGTTTATGCACAGCAGGGAGGTATGTTTACAAAAGGACTAAATTTTTTTAATGAAAACTGGATGCAACAGAAAGCAAATGTCATAAGGAAGGGCCTTAAAAGTTATTTTTTGCTCTCAGAGTGTTCCAGCAGGTCAAGGTCTGAAAGCTCACAAGATGAGAACCGACCAAAACCCAAGACATTCAGCAACAGACCTTTTATTTTCCCCCAAACTGCTACACTACAATCCCCATCCAAAAAGATCACCCCTTTAAACAAACTTTACTGGAATTCTCAGCACTGTGAGAAAGCCGCTGCTTTTTTTAAGGTCGATCGACGTTCTGACGGGAGCACGTCGCAGAGAGAAACCCAGGGAACCGTCCTGCAGTCGCGCTGCGTCGCTGCCTACAGCAGGGCGCTCTCTGCTTGCCATCCCAGCATCCTGGAGATCAGCAACAACCTGTTTTTACACTGCATCCAGGGCGGGAGGGAACACCGAGGCAGCTCGGGTGCGACCGCCTGCAGGCACCGTGTTTCAGGAAGACGAGACTGTTTTCAAGCTGGCTGAAAAAAATCAAGCCGCGCTGCTACATCTGGCCCAGGAGCAGTAAGCAGTCCATAAAAAGGGAATTTTATTGATCGCTCCGAAGTTGCATAAAACAGCACTGCACTGCTCATCTGGAAAACAGGAACTGCTGCACAGCAATTTGTTTGAAATGTATTTATAATCTAAATAATCTTCATGTCTTAAGTATTATTTGTATTTAAAGCCATATTTTCCAAGACTGGGGGACAGGCGGACATACTGGTATCAGCCCTCGTATGTTCACACACGTCTGGGCCGCGGGGCACGGGGACGAGCGGGCTCCGGGGAGGGCAGGGGCCTGACGCTGGAGACGGCGCGCGCGAAACGCAACAGCCCCCGTCACCAAGCCGGGTGAAACGGGCTCCGTCGCGGCGCCACGGACGACGCGCACTCCTCGGGTAGCCGCCTGCTCATCAGTGACTTCTTCCAAAGCAAGGCTTTTATTATTACAAAGCACACGTGTTGACTTTGTGCAAGGTATCTTTTTAACGCCAAGTAATTTCTCTCTCAGTCAAAACGAGAACATGCACGTTGTCCATTTATTTCAATCTTTGTGCGACTCCGTCTCAGGAAAGGCCACTAGGAAGGCTGCACTGAAATACGGTGAATAAACACGGGAAAAGCCAGTCCATTCTGTCTAGCCTGCGTACGCCGGGACTTCCAGGGCCAGAAATCGCTCCCGTCTCCCAGGCGGCAGTGCCCTCTGCGGGCTGCGCTGCTCCTGCCGCAGGTCTCCCACCCCTTCTTACTGCCCCGGGAGGCGAGGCGCGGGGGCCAGCTCCTCAGGCAGAGCCCTCGGCTTTGAACTCCGTTACGAATTCCAACTTTTCCCGTTTACGCACGTAGCCACGCAGTCTCCACTTCGGCCGTCCGTACTCCGGTGTGGATTGCTACAACCTGCTGCCACTTCTGTGTTTAAGCAAGCTCTAGCAGCAGCCGGCAAAGGGGTAAATCCTGAACACTGGTAACACCTAGCGAATGAGTATTACAACAACAAGATAATCGACTGGTCACCTCTCTAAATGTACTATCGAGTACTAACTACAAAGGTAACCGAGCCTGAAATTTCACATAAACTTACATACTGCAATTTGCTTGATGTCGTATTTCTTAGGATATATGTAGCACTGCCTTTTAAAAAAGTTTACTTCCAACTACTCAATTAAGGCAGCGTTTAACCAGCCTGTGCGCATTTCCTGAACAGAATGTCAACTTCACCAGTCAGCTCTGAAGAAGCAATGAAACAATTTCCAGAGGGGAAGGCAACACCAGTGTTAAGATCACCGCAGTGCAGTTTTTGGTACTTCAGGGTACTACAGGGAGCGTGGCAGGTTGGTATTGATGTTACTAAAGCAAATCAACTCCCGTTACTAAAGCACAAGAGGTATGGAAAGTAATCATTGAAAAGATTTTACCAACCGAGAAAAGATCAACCCTACCAGCAAGAAAAACTTTCGAACCTACAACTTTGCAGTATTTTGCAAATATATTAAGTGGAATTTTATAAAGAAAAGGAGCAAAAAGGCTTTTAACAGATTGGCAATGTAATTCTCAAATATACTGCATGATTTGATAGGAACAAATGGGGCTCCCGTTTTTGCTTTGGTCAGAGCCGTCCCCAGGCAGAGGAACAGAGCCAGACTGCACGTGTGCTATGCTCCCAGAAAAAACAATCCACAAGCAACCACTGCTGTCAAATATTAAACAGAATTTTTACACTGGAAGTTATTCAGGCTCTTTCAATCTGTTAGATTTTGGTTTTGAACAAAACTCAGTTTACATGGATACAATAAATAGTTTATTAATGGAATGCATGTTGAGTTTCTCTCTTCCATCCTTCCTCTTACTCTCGGCACTTTACATGAAGATGTCAAAGCAGCTTCCAGTCCGAGCCAAGGAAAAAGTTAATTTCAAGGCAAAACGAAGAGAGGTTGAAAGTTAAGACTGGCACCTTTCAGTGCCCAGTTCCTCACGTGTTTGTCCGGTTCCCCAAACCTACAGGCAAATTGGTGTTTCTTCTTTCCACACCTTGATCTACCTGCTTCTTCCCAACCTGTGCTCATTTAAGCTCTTCTTAGGCAGGTCGCATGCTCCATGGGGACAGCACAGAGTCATGCCTGCTCTAATGCTCTTTCAGCTATTGCAATATCCCTTTATTATTTTATTTAAAAACCCTACCATTGTTATGCCATCTCTTGCTGATCTTTCGTAACAGTTCAGTTCAGCTTTGGAATTTTACAAAAATGGAAAGAGTCTTTTTTTCAAAATATAGAGCACCGTGGCCAGGAACAGGGCAAGGGCGAGAAAGATTAGCAGCTTGTCCGTCAGCTCCCTGCGATTGTACTTTGTTATTAGCTTTCGCCCCAGCTGAATGGTCCCAGACATGGACTTAAATTCTTCATTTGCTTCCAGGATGGTTCGTGAAGAATTGGCTGAAATGAAGGGAAAAAAATAATTCAGCTGGTTGCGCTTCAAGACTACATGACAAAGGATACAAGCATGCAATATTTGGCAATACGGATAGTGCCTGCGAGATCCTCCTGGGTCAGGCTGACTTATGGCTAAGATAAATGCAGACTGTGTTCTTGCAGAAGCTTCCATGACTCAGTCCTGATCTGCTAAGGAAAAAGGCAGGGCAAAGTAAGAGTATTGGAAAGGGTGAGAGTACTGAATGGCTTAAAGGCCCTACATCCCCTTCCTCAATTTTTAATTTTTAGGTTACCAGATCGAATCTAGTTCACATTTTTTATGAACAAAGTCAGCGCTACCCGAGAGCTCGCTGGAAGCAGAGCGAGATAAGAATGGTGCTAGAACCACCAATTTAAGAAAGAAATCAGCATCACTGTCAGCATCAGCTCTAGCAGCAGCAGGACAGGTCAATATTTGAATGTATTAATTGCACAACTGAAACTATTCCCCCAAGCCAGAGCAGTAAATCAGCGTGATTCAGATGGGGTTGCAGAAAGTGAAAAAGCAGCATGCAGCAGTAAGAGATCCTTAATTATTCAGTTCAAACAATTTTAACAGTTTTTAATAGTTATTTTTGACAAAACATATGTCTTTTGGTTTGTTTTTTTTTCCTAAAAAGAGAAAATCAACTAGAGGAAAAGTGTGTTGATCAGTCTCAACTAAAGACGGAATTTGAGAAAATGCAAAAACAGCAAGATGGAACATCGGTCCCTTTCAATGTCTTTCCCTGTGAGAAAACAAACAAGCAAGCAAGCAAGCAAGCAAGCAAACGCACGCCCCAAACTCCTCAGCCTTCCTCCTTTCAAATTACTAAATGAAAGCAGAAGCCCAGGAGTCCCCTTTTTCCTCCATTACAGAGCGCATACCCTGTATGACAGCGAATGCCGTGTATCACTCTGTACCGAACTGATCGATTAAAGAAAGGTCAAACTCCAAGCATGTTGTCTAGTTCACAAAACCAAGCACAGTAGAAATACGTCTGCAATATTCTGCAAACCATTACGCCCCATCTTAAAGAGGCATTTTGATCCAAGTGAAAATAGAAAGCTTGTTTCCCATCATTAATGACAAAGCAGAGCATCCCTGCTTCACACGTGCATATATTCACTGCGTAGGAAAGGACTTGCTCAGAAAAAAGGAAATTCTAACTACTGATTCAGAATCTGCAGCTGGGTTTTGTAATGAGCTTTGCTAGTTTTTCCCTTGATGAATTCCAAGTGCTGTTCAGTCAGAAACAGGGTGAAGAAGTGTCTGCCAAACTGTCTTTTTAATGGGAGAAGAAACATGCTGCTTTTGCATGAACAAACTGTGCCCAGCTGCCATCCTCGGATGGGGGCAGAAAACCAGGAGGGCAAAAGTTGTGTCATTTATCCTCCTCTTTAAACTGTTCTCTCTTCTGCCCAAAAGCACAGCTCGTAAGAGGCCGAGGCAACGCAGATCCAACTTCTAAATGCTTCATGAATCACCAGTTCTGACAGGTCACTTGATTTATTGTCTTACGAGTCTGAGCCAAAGAACTGGGTGAAATCTGGTTTCACAGTCCCTGATGCACTGCTGACAGAGCAAGTGACCTCGGGTTCAAGTCACTTGATCTCCTCGTCTCTTAGTCATCCCAGCTGGAGACGGGGTGAAAACGGTCTCCCAGCCATGCTAAGTTTCCTCTGCATACGGACTTGTACCCACGCTTTTATTTTCTCTGCCATTACCAAGCGCGTGCCAGGACAGTGGCACAGAGTAACACCAAGCACGCTCTTAGCGCCGCGTGAACTCACGCTGCTTTTACAACTGCTTTTAGGCTTTTATATGAAGCTAAAACAAGAGCTCCTCAGCCTGCCCCCTTTTCCTTGTTTACTCATAACCATGAAACAGGAATTCTAGCAAACAGCTCCACACAACGTACATTATTATTTCCTATTTACATCCAACTGTTAGAGGAGTTCTGCTGGACGCTCCTTTAATTGTCATCGTAGTACGTTCTCCTACAGCAAAGCAGGTTTCCACGATGCTCCACACCGTGTCAGTTTGCCTCCCCCCATCCTAACAGAACTGGCGAAAGGTGCCTCAATCACCCAATCCATACCCCAACACCCCAATACCAGCTGTACCTAGGGTTTGCACGGTCTCCTCGCTCTGCTGGACCTGCTGTGACATCATCCTGCTAATGCCCATCAGACTCTCCGTGATGTTACTTGCACTCTCTGCCAGGCTTTCCTTCGTAGTCTTCCTGAAAAAGAAAGGGAAAAATTAAAGCAGGAAGGGATAAAATTATGTCTTTGGGTACTGCGGGGAAAACGCTGCTGCCAGGGAACTTAGAACAGCGCTTGGCACCAAGTGTTTCTGCCAATGTACAACAGACACAACTAGTTTTTACCGCATGAGAAAATTGGATTTATCTTCACTGAACAATCAAAAAAAAACCCCACGGAATATTAAAGTCATGAGGCAAAACACCTGCCAGTGGCTCAGAATCTCACGGGGGCCCGTATTTCACCACTTATTCATCCACGCCTGTACAACTTCATGAGCAGGTATGGACGCACTGGTACAAACCACCACTTTATTACCCTGTGTATCCCATTTGTTGCTTCATGATACTAAATATGCCGACTTTTCAATACAGAAATTATATAAGCTTACATCCAGTTTTGCACGTGAAAAGAGCTTGCATAATGATCCATTATTTGTTTATAACCCTGATTGGAATTAATGTAAAAGATGGTCAGAAAAACTATGAAGGTTAACTTATCCCCTTTTCTGCTTAGACATGCCAACGCCAAGAAAACCTGAAATTATCACAGTCCTTAACAGTTTAAATCTTCACAAAAAGTAAATCCACTCATAAAAGGAAAGCTATGTTCCAGATACAATTAAGGAACTTAAAACATTACGTCACTTCTATTTAAAACTAGTGAATATAGCGTACGCTGTTTAAATCTCAGATCGTACAGTGGGAGGGTGTGATACCTTTGTCTTAAGGAGTCTCTTCCCTGCAGCAGCTGATCTTTCTCAGAGTTGTCGATAGCAATTTTGCAAGCTAGATTTGCCTTTCTCCAAGCTGCCTGATTGCTGAAATCACAAGAGCACAACGTTGGCACGTGATGGTCACACCTTGCAAGCGAAAACAACTTTCACAAAGCAATCGCCACTGTAACCGAGAGCCCCAGAGACGTGCATGGACTTTCTCTACGTTATGCCACAGAATAGCAACACGCTGTCCTGCCATTTCTTCTCCTAAGAGTATTGCTTATGGAGCAAGGGGAGAAGAAAACGGTGCCAGCTGTCAAAGGACAGACCCTCAAGCCACCTACTTACATGCTCAACTGCTCAAAGGGACAGGCCACGGTTAGGGAGCCAGGACAGGAGAGAGGAAAGGAGAAGGGCGTCCTACTCCTTCCATCCCCGATCCTCTCTTGCCCTTGGGCAAAACAGCATCACGTCAGTGACCGTATTTGCGAAACAGGATCCGAAAGACGCCGTGCCGAAGTCGGACGATCTCTGGTTACAGGGGGCCTGTACACAGCACCAGCTGCCCGACCCACCTGAGCATTTGTTTCTTGTGGCTTTCCACTTCCCGCAGTAAGGCTTGTTTCTCCGACTCTTTATCTTGCTCCTTCGCCATCTGCTCCAGCTCCTTTGGCAGAAAGCAGAAACACGAAAATCCGATCAACAGCTGCCGCCACCTGCCGCTCGCACCGCCCGCCCCCGGCTAGGCAGGGCGTTGACAGGGCGACAAAACCACACACGCCGGCGGGAGACACCCCCCCGC